ATCGTCTTCCACAGGCGATGCAAAACTGACGATATATCACGATATATAATTTCTAATATCGCCCAGTCCTAATGTTGACAAATCAAATATTGATCATAACCACAGCAAACTCTGCATTGTATTGAAAATTACAAATGGCAAACTAATTTTCATAATCAAATATTTGTAATAATAGATCGTAACACAATAAGATTGATTCAATAATCCTAAGAATTTATAATCGTACATTTTTATTCAACTGAATTCTCCATTATAAATGAAATAATAATCAATATCAATAGGATAAAATATAGATTTTACAAAACATAAATTTCATGTTAATTGTTGCATAATGAACTAAATATTTTACACATTGGAAATATAAGGGATAAAAAGAGAGTTCTGAATAAAAATAAATTTAACACTTTAGAACAACAAAAGTTTTTAACTGATTTCTATAAATGAGGTTCACTTCCTTATGTAATAGTAATACTTATTTTAATATTCTGGAAAGCAATAATCCGAACAAAATTTTCCATTTCAATAGGGATTTTTGTAGGATAATTAATATTCAATTTTAGGGAATTTTCTGAAATGTACAAAAACCAGTAGACCAGAAGAAACTGGAAAAATCCAGTAGAGTTAGCAGCTATGTATCAACAATTACATTAGCTGGTTAACATTTTAAAAGATTTGTTTAGTGCATATAAAGTATTTTAAAAAATTAAACTTGTAATATCTAAAATCACCACAAAAATACACTAATAACAATTCCAATGTCTCAATGAGAAAAACTATAAATAACCTTATGAGCAAAAACTAGATACCAACTTTTATAACATACATGTTCCATTTTAACATGATTTTTAAAATTAAGATTCATAATTAACTTACCGATGAAGAATATCTCACTTTCAGAGTAATTAACGTTAGAAAAAACTTAGGTTTCACAAAAATCCTGATATTTCAAAATTACAAATAGAAACTGTGATATTAGATTTTACTTGACTTGAATGTGATTGGCAATATTGGATTTTAAAATCACGCGAATAATAAAAAATACAGATCGCTATATGGGATTTTTAAATTTCATGAACATGAACCACAATGCGTAGCTTTTAAACCACATATAAATTTTTATATCCCGGAATACGAATCGCGACATAGAAGTGATAAATCAAGTCAATACAAAAATTTATTATTGATATTAAAATTGCACGAACATGAATCGCAATATCAGTGGATCCCACACAGTTTTAAATATTCAAAATGGCAAAATCTGCCAAACCATAAGTACCAAATAGATGTATTTTTGCCATTTGGTGACAGAAACACATGCAGATAAATGTCTCGCCACTGAGATCTAGCGTAAGTTTTCAAATTTAAATTGCAGAGCTCCAAGGAAATTTTGTCGGAATATAAGTTTTTGATCCACGAAAATCCACAAATCCCTGCTCCTTGTTTTTAGACCAGGAAGAACGATTAAGTCCTCGTATACTGATTTGAATAAATCTTTTAATAAGAAAATACAGGAAGTACAAACCTCTGCATCTTGTGGTTCTTTAGACTCATTGGGATCCATTGCAGTTTCTTCAGCATCAACAGAATCATTTACATTAGCAGTAATGGTAATGCTAAAATATAAAAAATGATGAGTAATTCTATTAACTACATGAAAATACTTTTTACATAATCAGAAATCCAGCAATGAATCTTTACTCCGCTGCACAATTATTCTCTGTTAAGCTCTAAATCCGAAGACAAGTATGAAAGTTTTTGTACACCATAGCTTTCGGTTTATACTGATGAGGAAAAAAGCTGTAGAGCTTAGAGACCAATGCAAGCAAAGATAATTAGGACAAAAAAAAATTTTCTAAAATTTTCAAAATTAGGACAATTTACAAACAAACGCAGGCAATATTTTGGTATAACATACACTTACAAGACTATTTTTAGGAAAAATCCATTGTATGTTTAGTGTAATCCACTGCTTTAAATATCTCTTTCTCAGTGTCCAATTTCTTTCATTATTCACAAGCTTACAAAAATAAAGAAAAAAAGGCAACATTTAATATTGAATGAGATTTATACTATGATATGCGTTAATGAGATTTTGCAAACTTAAAATAAATTTCGGAGATCTCTGAGAAAATATTGTCTGAATATAAATTTGCGGAAATCCACAAAAAAGGGAAAAAGAAAATTTTATTATTTTTAAAAAATTAGTTTTCAAAATAAATAGGAAATAAACATTAATTTTTGGATAGATTTCAACCCACTGATATTTTCTCAAGACTGATTTCAGTCCTCAGGAGTGAAGAGTGGTAACCTTGCATCTTCTATTAGAATTAAAAATCGGTGACTATATGTGCAAGAAAAAGCACACGATATAAAGTAACTATTAATAGCATAGGAGCTGCAATAGGATCCTTCTAGCAGTATTGTAACTTTATATCATGTACATCTCGGAGTCCAATAACTGCATAATTAGACCAGGTGTGAAATACACCTGCCATGTATGATATCGGTGACTGTGCATATGACTGGCTATAGATGAAATGAGGCATAAAATGGCAATAAAAAATTTTAAAGAAAGGAAAGTTTAATAATAAAATGTTTGTTCCAATCCTGATCCAAGTCCTTCTCTTCAAAAAAAGAAAAAAAAAAAAGAAAAGAAAAAAAGGAAAGGTTTACAGTTTTTCCAAACAATCCCCTTTCTTTTAATACACACTTTGTATTTCATTTCCTGAATACTAGCACTCACATTAATAGGCATAGTTTCCCCTTTTCTTCTAGTAAAAGATTTTCATAAAATAAATAAAATTATTCTCTTAAATTTGTTAATTGAAATGGCACATTCAGAAGCAGAAAAAAAAAAAGAAAAAAAGAAATTAGGAGCAGTGTGACTGTGAGTGTAGACTTTCTTCATTAACAGCATTTAGAAGATTTAAGTAAAAAGCAGAGGTATTACCTTCTGTGAGAAATTTAAACTAGTTAAACATTTTAAATCTTTTAAGTATAGTGCAAGTTTCATTAATTTATGACTAGCATCATGCCACAGAATTTTCAATAATAAGAAATAAACAAAAAATGTAATTCAGTTGGCAAATAAACTAATTCATAATTTAAATAAAATTAAACAGTGCTAATCTTTAAGCATAAGAGGTCCAGTCTAAGAAAATCCTAACTATCAAACTAATAATTTTTCCCAAACCATCACCTGGTGCATAAAAAATTAAACATTTCTAGAACTTTGACGTAAAACAACTCAAAGACAAATGAACAAGCATAGATATATCAGTACCTTTCTGAAACATAGCTCTAAAAAGTATGCAAAATCTTAGGTTTTTATTAAACAATTCTTGTGCAATGTGAGCAATAAGGGCAGAGAGCGAAAACTCTCATAAGCAAGTTGGTGACAATTTGCCTTTTTAATTATTGAGTTCATACCTATCACACTCAGATGAAAAACAAGAATCTCTTAGGCTTTCTCCCCAAACAGTAAAATTCTTAACAAAACTCCAAAAATTTACTCACGTCTCTCCATTCAATTTTTTTGTTAGTTCGACATCAGAACCATTCAAGTTGCATTCATATCCTTCGAGCTTTGGCAAAACATCAGAAGCATGGGTTTGTTTTTCATTTTTTATTTCATCCGTCAAAAATGCAGCCAGCTCTTGATCACCTAAAAGGAAAAAAATATAGTCAGTTAAAAGTTAATATGATCAAGCTTTTAAAAACAGAATACAGTGTTCTTCCGAAGAGGTTTTAGAAGGGTGACTCATCCTGCCTACTCTTTCACAGAGGTAAATGCACACTCCTTGCCCTTTATGTAAAAATCTAGCTTTACTTTTTATTCAAAAAAAAAAAAAAAAAAAAAAATGCTGTGATTTCATATTAAGAGAAGAGGTAGCAGTAACAAAAATGAGGAGATTCAGATTACTGTAGGTAGTGGAAATTATTTTTAGGCTAAATCAATATAAAATACTATCATTTCTCATTTTTATGTGAGTATGTTTAATTCTGTTTCGCACTAATCTAGTTAGATTTAATATACTTATTCCTTTAGTAGATATTGCCAAAAGTTGTTGGAAATTACTAATGAAACAACAACAAACACCAGCTAGCATCGAGATTTTATTACAACTGCTTCAATAACCATAACGACATCACGTGACTATGAGCATCGAAAGTTGGTTCGGCATGTACAGTGAGTCTGAACATGTTACATCGCGTTTCAATGCACATGCACATTCAAAACTATTAATTGAAATGAAATGAAACATAATTACAAATTTTAACAAAATTTTACAGAGTACAATTCTTAACTGCACATCTCAAAGTACTTACCAAAATTCAAATCGAAACACTAACATAGAGCAATAACAAAAAACAACATACAACTAAAAGTTACACGTCTAATATGATTAAGCTTCCAATGACAGTACGGACAATTTGGAAGCAGTGCTTTCTAATATTCCTGATTGACAGGATGAACACTGTTGTCCTTGCCCGGGTACGTTTTAACTATTCTACCTAACATTCATTTGTTCAAATTGTCTTCCCTTATTAATGCCATATCCCCAATTATGATATTTTTTATTTGGAATAACCATTTAGTTCGTTGTTGCTAATTGTTGAGATAACTTAAACTCCATTTTTTTCAAATTATCAGCACAAATTTCGTTGTCCTTTGCCATAAACTCACTCGATTATTGGATACCTCTGTTAGAAATGGCTCAGCAAATGCAGTAAAAGACTTATGAATAATGAAATGAAGAGTTAATATCTCCAGATCTGAAGAAAGGCTGAGAATTTAATATAGACCTTTTGATTTAATATTGCTAGGAATTTCTCATAACTGAATGCAGAATGACATGCAATTTGTCTTAAATACTTGAACAATTTCACCCCCAAAATTTGGGAGCTCTGGGAAGTGTTGATTCCAACGTAATATTTTATTTCCGTAAAAATCTAATGAGACTTTCATTTCGATTATGAGCTAACTTAACTCCTGTTTTGCTCCAACAAAGTTTGTTCCGCTATCAGAAAAAAGTTTGGAGCAACGCCCTATTCGAGCGATGAAACATGGCAAAGTAGCTATCATAAATTTAGAATTCAGAAATTATTTCCATAAGAAGTACCTTTGCCACCAGGCATATAAATATGCAAATTAGCTATTACAGGGCCAATATTTTCAAAGGAAAATTAAATAATGAATTAAAAGCTCTTAAATTAATATAAAATTAAATCTTTTATTATAATACTTATTTTATTTGTATTTGAAAACTTATTCATTAAGGAGAAAAAAGAAAGACAATGTTATTAAAACCATTACTCTGCACCTATTTAATACAAAACAAATAACATTTCGAAAGCTCATGTTGTTTACAAAACAAGTGATTTGCCTTAACGTTGAGGCAAGAAATATTGTTTCATTAATTCAATGTTACACGCATATTTATCTAAATTTACAGTTTAAATAGTAGGATTATGTATACTTATATAATTATATTTATAAGACAATTAATAAAATATATAAAGGTAGATCCCTTAATAGTACCCATTAGAGTCTTGATTAAACCAAAAAAAAAAAAAAACACCTGTGTATTTATGGGTCTGCGGTTGGGTGAAACATCCAGGTTGCAATTGCCAGATACATTTTAAACTTCAAATTTTTTTGTTCAAAAATAAGTTTGGAAGTCCCAGCAAGCCATTACCCAGAGTTTGCGATTATTCGGCCACAGATATGAAAACCTACCCTAATGATATGGCAAAAAATACTTTAGAAACAAAAATACAAAGTATTAAAAAAAGTGACGAAGAAAACTTTTTATATACCAAGACTTTTACACATACTACCGAGCATGTTAATTTACAAAATATATGCCCAAATGAAACTTCTAAATGCGGAAACCAGGGTTGGGTTTTTGACGTCAAAAAGTGGTTTTTGACATGACAAGGGTATAATACTGGTTTAAACCGTCAAAAAGTGTCTGAAATCGAAA